AATCACAATCAGCTGTGTTTACTATGCTTCAGTTTATGAATGAACAGGAGTCTCTGCCTGTTAATTTATCTGCAGTGCAGCTGAAGCTGCAAAGAGGAATTGGAGAATGTGTTTCCTCAGTCCCTTTCTCTGTCTCAAAACTGAGACTTTAGGGGTCTGTTTATACCTCTGATATCTCACCAATGACCTCACAACAGTGTTGCGAAAGAAAATGTAAAATATTATATAAAAAAAATTACTTTCCCTGTTACATTGGTATTACTGTTAATAAAAAGTTTGAACAAGAAAAAAAAAATACTTTGCCCAGGGGCCCATGATGCTATTAAGATAGCACTGACTGCAGAAGATGGTCAGAGACTGCAAACATTTCACAGCAGGTGATCAGAAAGTCCAGACATACTACTGAAGATGGTCAGAGACTGCAGACATCAGACAGGACATAGTAATAGACTTCAGACATTTGACAGGTGATAGTAAGATATACTATATTGCCAAAAGTATTGGGCCAGCCCTTCAAATCATTGGATTCAGGTATTTCAATCAACTCCATGGCCAAAGGTGTATAAAATCAAACAAACATTGGTGAAAGAATGGGTCACTCTCAGGAGCTCAGTGAATTCAAGCATGGTAACATGATAGGTTGGTGAAATTTACGTCTGTGAAATTTCCTTGCTACTAAATATTCCAACTGTTAGTGGTATTATAACAAAGTGGAAGCAACTGATAGCAACAGAAACTCAGCCACCAAGTGGTAGGCCACGTAAAATGACAGAGCGGGGTCAGCGCATGCTGAAGCAGACAGTGTGCAGAAGTCATCAACTGTCTGTAGAGTCAATAGCTAAAGACCTCTTCAGATTAGCACAACACCAGTGTGTAGAGAGCTCCATGGAATGGGTTTCCATTGCCGAGCAGCTGCATCCAAGCCTTACATCACCAAGTGCAATGCAAAGCGTCGGATGCAGTGGTGTAAAGCACACGTGGAGACATGTTCTCTGGAGTGACCAATCACGCTTTTCTGTCTGGCACTCCGGTAGACATGTTTGGGAATGGAGGTTGCCAGGAGAACAGTACTTGCCTGACTGCATTGTGCCAAATGTAAAGTTTGGTGGAGGGGGGATTATGGTGTGGGGCTGTTTTTTCAGATTTTGGCCTTGGCCTTTTAGTTCAAGTGAAGGGAACGCTTAAGGTGTCAGCATACCAAGACATTTTGGACAATTTCATGCTCTCAACTTTGTGGGAAGAGTTTGGGGATGGCCCCTTCCTGTTCCAACATGACTGCACCCCAGTGCAAAAAGCAAGGTCCATAAAGACATGGAGGAGCCAGTTTGGGATGGAGGAACTTGACTGGCCTGCACAGAGTCCTGACCTCAACCAAATAGAACACCTTTGGAATGAATTAGAGTGGGAACTTGATGTTTGTGGCGAAATTTTGGTCCGTTCGAATGTTCTTCCACAAATCGAACAAGGGGGTGTTCGGCCCATCACTAATAAAGACATGAATGAGTGAATTTGGCGTGGAGGAACTTGACTGGCCTGCACAGAGTCCTGACCTCAACCCAACAGAATACCTTTTTGGATGAATTAGAGCGGAGACTACGAGCCAGGCCTCCTCCCCCGACATCAATGCCTGACCTCACAAATGTGCTTCTGGAAGAATGGTCAAACCTTCCCATAGACACCCTCCTAAACCTTGTGGACGGCCTTCCCAGAAGAGTTGAAGCTGTTATAGCTGTAAAGGGCGGGGCCAACTCAATATTGAACCCTACGGACTAAGACTGGGATGCAAATAAAGTTTATGTGTGTAAAGGCCCAATACCTTTGACAATATAGAGTAGTACAGATATAAAAGAGATTGTAGGAGGTTGCAGGGCAGTTTACAGATATATATTTCAATTGTTCATTTATCTGTATGCCTACACTTACACATATGCTGAGAATCAGGGATTTGAGTAACTGTTTCCCACAATTCAATCAGTGCATAGCTTCAGCTGAGACCTATAGGGGCCTCTTTATAATAGGCTGAAAATGTCATTTTGAATTTTTTACATTATAGACAAGGGGTTGATTTGTAAAGAATTTGCATAGCCATTTGCCAAGTATAAATACATGAACATTCCTTCTGTGCGGGTGGTTAAGAGAAAAACTAATACAAATAGACTACATATATGCTGTTCTGTTCAAATGGAAATAATGTAAAATAGAATTACCATATTTGGCTACTAGATGGAGCTAAATTTCATAGGATTCTCCTATAATACTTTCCTCCATCTTGTGGCCAGATACAGTATTTTCTGTTTAAACTAAATAATTTTCCTTAACCAATTCAATACCGGGCAATTTTACCCCTTCCTGCCCAGGCCAGTTTTCAGGTTTCAGCGCTCTCACACTTTGAATGACAATTGCGCGGTCATACAACATTGTACCCAAACTAAAATTTTATCATTTTCTTCACACAACTAGAGCTTTCTTTTGGTGGTATTTAATCACCGCTGGGGTTTTTATTTTTTGCTAAATTAACGAAAAAAACCAAACATTTTGAAAAAAAAAAACACATTTTTCTTTGTTTCTGTTATAAAAGTTTACAAATAAATAATTGTTCTTCATAAATTTAGGCCGAGATGTATTCTGCTACATGTCTTTGGTGAAAATAACCCAAATTAGGATGTATTTTTTAGTTTGTAGGAAAGTTATAGAGTTCACAAACTATGGTATAGATCTGAAAATTGATCAATCCTGAAGTACTGACAGCCAATCTAATTTCTTGAGGTCCAAGAATGTCAGAACAGTACAGATATCCCCAAATGTCAGAACAGTACAGATATCCCCCAAATGACCCCTTTTTGCAAAGTAGACAGTCCGACGTACTTCATAAGAGGCATGGCGAGTTTTTTGAAGCTGTATTTTTTTTGTCATAATTTTTCAGAAAATTAAAAAAATTATTTTCACTATTTTTTTTTTTACATATTGTCACCAGTGCAGTACAGCGTCATCATATAACTGGCATGGTGGTGAACAGGGACACTGACTGGTGACAGTATGAAAAAAAAAAATAAATAAATAAATATATATATATATATAATATATATATAATATATATATTTTTTTTATTATTATTTTTTATTGTTTATTAATTTTTTTTATTTTTCTTAAGATTTTTTTTTTTCATATTTCACTATGTCCAAAGTAGTACAACATTACCATAGTAACATTGTACTACTTTGGGGAAGTGATCAGTATTTTTTTTTTTACACAATTTGCTTATAGCAAATAATTACTTTGCTATAAGCAAGCATTTACCTGAATGACATCGATTCATTCAGGCTTTTTTTTTTTTTTTTTTTTTTTTTTTGTGCTTAGCTGTGATTTGGCTACAGCTAATCACATGACATGTGCATGTGATTAGCTGTGACCATTCACAGCTAGACACTAGTATACATAGGATGGCATGAATGAAGCCATCCATTGTATACAACTGTCATGTGACCTGCTGTGATTGGTCACAGCAGGTCACATGGTACCGGCAACGGAGGCCGGTACTCAGATCTGTCATCGGCCGTGTCCGAGGTACACGGCCGGTGACAGATCGCGCCGCTGCGCAGCTCTGCAGGAGCGCAATCTGCGCATGTGCGGGAGGACGCCATATGGCGTCCACCCGGAACGCTGATGACATTTGCCAGCCGCCATTCGGCCATAGGGCGGGCGGCAAATGGTTAAATCAGCATAGAGTCCGGTAAAAAAAATGTTTTTGCCCCCATTCCCACATAATGAATATACATGCACTGTCACTGGGCGAATGCAAATTCTTTTTAAGTCAATCCTTTAAAGAGAAATTTCTTAAACTATCATAAAATCTTCAACAAAGACACTTATAGAAACATTTAGTAATGGCAATCTAAACACAGATACATATAGATAATTACAGACTCACTCCAGGTGCAATAGAAAAGTGAGCACGCAAAATGTGAAGCCCAAAAAGGTACCCAAATTGTAACACATGGAGTACTGGGTACCAGAATTCTTGGGGTCCATCCAATTACTAGGTGAGGCTCCCTTGAAGGGAGACCCCAAGGAAGGAGAAGCACCTAACCATAACTCCAATTGCCCTACCCATCAAGACTTTCAGGGCAAGTCCCTACTTATCGGGAGTGAGTAAAGTGCTACAGGCTTGTGACAAAAGTGCAAAAATTAAAAAGAATAAGTGCTTTAGGAAGCCAAGATGCAAGACAATAGCTGGCCTTCTAGCTGGTAAAAAACGTCCTCTGCTCCCAGCCAAAAGACCCATTCCAGGAGGCAGGTGTGGTAAAAAAAAAAACATAGAAGGGTGCTGTGACCGAGATGCCATAATAAAAACATTGTGAGCAGGGGCGGACTGACAACTCATGGGGCCCCCGGGCAATAGGGGATCATGGGGCCCCTGTGTCCTTGCCCAAACTCAAAAAAGCCTATGAAAAAGGTACCAGGGGCATCTCATGGGGCCCCCTACTGACCCTGAGCCCTCGGGCAGTGCCAGAGTTTCCAAATGGTCAGTCCACCCTGATTGTGAATTACCCCAAAGTGACTTTTTCTGGAATTTTTGAACTGCCACTCCAGGGGAGCAGGCTCCAGCCAGAAACCATGAAGTGGAAAAATATGAATTATTTTAAGTGAAAGGTCCTCTTTATTTTATTACAGGTACTTACCACCAGTTTACGCAGCGCTTTACATATACTGTATATTGTACATTCATATCAGTCCCTAACCCTATAGGGCATACAGTCTAAAGTCGATAACCTACATTCATACACATACTAGGGCAGGTTTTAGACAGGATCCAATTAACCTACCAGCATGTCTTTGTAGTGTGGGAGGAAACCCATACAGGCACAGGGAGAACATGCAAACTCAAGGCAGGTGGTGCTGTGGTTGGGATTTGAACTAGAGTCCCTGGTACTGCCAGGTGGAATTGCTATCCATTTATCCGCTGTGCTGCCCTCTCTTTAATGTACTGTATTTACTTCTATATGTGTGTTCTCTTACAGCTTTCTAAGCAGTATGGACCCATCTTCACTCTCTGGTTTGGTTCTAAACCTGTGGTAGTGCTTTGTGGATATGCAGTTATCAAGGAGGCCCTGATCAATTATTCTTATCAGTTCGGAGCTCGTGGATCCTTACCGATATCACAAAGATTGTCAGAAGATTTTGGTAAGGAAAATCTGTGCTTTTTAAAATATCTATAGACACGTACCAGATGTTTAACCATTAGCCGCCCAGCCAATGGCCGTTTGGCGGCTTCAAAAGTGTTCCTGCATTCCGGGTGCACGCCATTTGGCGTGCTCCCGCACATGCGCAGTTTGCGCTAATGCAGAGTGGCGCAGCAGCGCAATCTGTCACCGGACGTGCACCTCGGACACGGCCGATGACAGATCCGAGTACCGGCTCCCGTTGCTGGTACCATGTGACCTGCTGTGACCAATCACAGCAGGTCACATGACAGTTGTATACAATGGATGGCTTCATTCATGCCATCCATTTTATACTAGTGCCTAGCTGTGAATGGTCACAGCTAATCACATGCACATGTCATGTGATTAGCTGTGACCAAATCACAGCTAAGCACAAAAAAAAAAAAAAAAAAAAAAAAGCCTGAATGAATCGATGTCATTCAGGTAAATGCTTGCTTATAGCAAAGTAATTCTTTGCTATAAGCAAATTGTGTAAACAAAACTATGGTAACATTGTACTACTTTGGTCATAGTAAAATATGAAAAAAAATCTTAAAAAAAAATTAAAAAAAAATGTAATAAAAAATTAAAAATAATAAAAAAAATTTAAAAAAATTTAAAAAAAATATTTTTTTTTTTTCATACTGTCACCAGTCAGTGTCCCTGTTCACCGCCATGCCAGTTATATGATGATGCTGTACTGCACTGGTGACAGTATGTAAAAAAAAAAATAGTGAAAATAATTTTTTTAATTTTTTAATTTTCCGAAAAATTATGACAAAAAAATACAACTTCAAAAAACTCGCCATTCCTCTTATGAAGTACGTCGGACTGTCTACTCTGCAAAAAGGGGTCATTTGGGGATATCTGTACTATTCTGACATTCCTTGACCTCAAGAAATTAGATTGGCTGTCAGTACTTCAGGATTGATCAATATTCAGATCTATACCATAGTTTGTGAACTCTATAACTTTCCTACAAACTAAATAATACATCCTAATTTGGGTTATTTTCACCAAAGACATGTAGCAGAATACATCTCGGCCTAAATTTATGAAGAACAATTATTTATTTGTAAACTTTTATAACAGAAACAAAGAAAAATGTGTTTTTTTTCAAACTTTTTGGTCTTTTTTTGTTAATTTAGCAAAAAATAAAAACCCCAGCGGCGATTAAGTACCACCAAAAGAAAGCTCTAGTTGTGTGAAGAAAATGATAAAATTTTAGTTTGGGTACAATGTTGTATGACCGCGCAATTGTCATTCAAAGTGTGAGAGCGCTGAAACCTGAAAACTGGCCTGGGCAGGAAGGTGTAAAATTGCCTGGTATTGAATTGGTTAAAGCTGGAGAAAAATACAGGTGTACAATTTTCTTAAAGGGTTCTTTTTTGCTGTAAGAGCCCACAGCATGATTCAAAAAACAAAAAAAGTGAACACACAATAAATGCAAAAAGTGCACAGGATGTACCTTTGTTCCTCAGGTGCAAGGCTTCAGGCTAAAAGCAAAGCAGTCTTGGTCCAGCTAGGCAAAGTCAGGCATACTCCAATCTTCAGGCAACCTTGCAAAGCCAATTCACCCAGCTACTAGGATAAAGCTACCTCAATATTGTACAGAAACTCTCAAAAGCTTTCAGGTGGACAGAAACATGGTTTGGATTTACAGCAAATAGATCGTATTGTAGAAGTATATCTTTTGAGATATAGCCTGGGGCTCACTCATCCAACAAGGCTTCAGCTATAGCTAAAAATTCACTTTTGGGTAGACTGACCCTTCAACTTGTCACTTGCTGTAAGCAGGTGGAATGTCAGTCTTGCATGGTCCAGCAGTACAGTTATTTAGAGGCGTACCTTAAATATTTCAAATAGACCGTGTTAAGGTCATACAATTAACTAAATGACAGTGTACAAATTAAAGTGATAACAATGAACAAAATTCAAATAAAATATTGGTATTCAGTCCCTACATGTGAATTTTAGTGCAATGGTGCTGTATCCTTAATGGTGAACCTCCATACTGAAATGACAAGTGCTTCACTGTGCTCACATTGGTGCCCTACATAGATGTAAACTCACCATCATCTCATGACCACCTATCTCTAGGTTAGTCAGACGCGCTTTTGGGACTATCCCAATATGCAATATGATATTGATGGCCGATATTCCTTCACCCTCTTAACCATGGTTGCTGGTAGTAACCGATAACCCTCAAGTAGAACTGCATCATTATTAGAAAGGTCCTCTCCTCCACAGGCAGTAATTCATATTTTCAGCATAAATTAAAACAAAACCAGACATCCCATAGTGTAAAACCGTACAGAACTTTAATAATGGGGTCAAACAAACAATAAAAATGCCACTTACAAAAAAAGTGCCTTTCCTGGCACTAGGTGTATTCAGCCTTGTTAATTATGAATGGGAGTAAAGATGGCCACCACGTTCCAGTGTGCATTCCAAACACCAGAAGTGGCATCGGAGAAAGTAGCGTATTAAGCCCTCGCCATGTTTTGACCAATAGATCGTCTTCAGGAAGTACCGTAATTGAAAAATTCTAGCGTTCCTAGAATTGTTTTCATCCACCTTCTCTAGGTTAGTCAGACGCGCTTTTGGGACTATCCCAGTATGCAATATGATATTGATGGCCGATATTCCTTTACCCTCTTAACCATGGTTGCTGGTAGTAACCGATAACCCTCCAGTAGGACTGCATCATTATTAGAAAGCTCCTCTCCTCCACAGGCAGTAATTCATATTTTCAGCATAAATTAAAACAAAACCAGACATCCCATAGTGTAAAACCGTACAGAACTTTAATAATGGGGTCAAACAATAAAAATGCCACTCACAAAAAAAGTGCCTTTCCTGGCACTAGGTGTATTCAGCCTTGTTAATTTTGAATGATGGCCACCACGTTCCAGTGTGCGTTCCAAACACCAGAAGTGATGTCGGAGAAAGTTGCGTCATAAGCCCTCACCATGTTTTGACCAATAGATCATCTTCAGGAAGTACTGTAACTTGAAAAATTCTAGCGTTCCTAGAATTGTTTTCATCCACCTTCTCTATCTGATGAACTAGGGGCATGTTTCCTGGATGGCAGGTCATTTTCCCAATTATTTGAGCTGTGGTTCCTATAAAGTTGACGGTTTGAAGATGAAGACATTGTTGAGTATTCAGGGGCATTCACCCATGCAGGGTGAGAGGTTCTGTGGTAATCCGGTTGGAGAGGAAAGGACTTATTTTCAGTTATTAGGTTCTTAAATTCTATAAGTTCTTTTCAGGGACCCAGGATTCTGGAGGTTTTGCAAAATCTTTGGGGTGGGAAAGAAAAAACCTCCAAACTGAAATTACAGGGACTTTGGCTCTGAAAAAGTTAAGCCACCTGCAGGGGAGTCTTGAAAGGTAACAAAGGAATCAGCACCTGTGTCAGTGAGGCAGAGTGGAATGGTTTACAAGCTGTGAGCAAGTGTGAACCCTCTGGCAACTGAGGCGCTTATTGCTGAACCCCTGCAGCCTCTGCAGCATCCTAAAACAATTGTGAACCCTAAAACTCAATATGGGACTGAAAGTCTGGCAATGAGCCTATGGTATGGTTTCCTTATACCAGGACTGGGGACTGTTTTCTTTACTTTTTCTGAAGAAAGCTTTTTGTGTTTGCTTGTTTTGAGAGCCCAATAAAGACTATTTCACTTTACAAGCAGTTTGATGGTTATCTCAGGGACCCCCTGTATGACAATATATACAGTACTTATAATATATACATACAGTATATACAGGGGGCTTTCAAGGCAAACCAAGATTTTTAGATCTACAGGTATAATATGGGATGCTGGAGTGGCAGTACTACATGCAGTAGTAAGTGTGTCCTATTACTGATAGGTGGCGCACACATTGTGGGCCAGTCCAGAGACCATTAATCAAGATGGCAGACAGCAGTGTTGGTGCATGCATGGAACAGCATGTGGTGATGAATTTTCTTGTGAACGAAGGTGTAAAACCTGCATATATCTACAGAAGACTTCATTCACAGTACAGAAATGAGACGTTCAGACTCAGTAAGACTGAATGGTGTAAGTGATTTCAATATGGCCATACTTTCATCAGTAACAATCCGGGTCGTGGTGGTCGTGGTTGTTCCCAGTCCACAGCAGTCATTCCTGTGAACAATCAGTGCGTAGAACACCTGATTCTGGATAATCGACACATAACCTGTTGTGAAATTGCACAAGAGACAAATCTTTCTGTGGGAACGGTGAACACAATCATGACTAAGTGAAGTAGGCTGCCTAGGATGGGTCAGGCATACTGACAAATCTTTCTATGCTTTCCAGGAATTATTTAAACTCTAAGTGTATAAATCTAGCAGGAGAGTATGTCAAAAAATTATTATATAAACTCAAACATCCCGGGTTGACTTGAATACCCCTCATTTAAGTATCAAATTGAGTAATGTTTTCTTTCATATTTTAGGTATCATCACCACCAATGGTGAACGCTGGCAGCAAGTTAGACGGTTTACTGTGACCACACTGAGGAATTTCGGAATGGGGAAGCGGTCAATGGAGGAGCGAGTGCAGGAGGAATCCCGTCACCTTATAAAGGCTATAGAGGATACTGGAGGTTAGGTCAGGAAAGTCATTGACAGGTCACGATGTAACAGGCAGGCCAAGCCATCTTGCCATTTTTATTAAGTGTACAAGGTGTAGAACTGGAGACGAAGGAGGAATCTTTCCACAGCTGTTCTTTTAGTTGGAACATCTTTGCGGTTGCTTGACTTGTGTAGAAATTGTTCATCTGTGACTTTTCAGAGATACATCTTAAGTAGCTCCGGGTAAGGAGTTCTAGATGAGAATGCCAGAAGGAAGAATCACTTTACTAATAGGAACTTGAAAACAATCCATCAAATCTGGAGGGGTTTTCAGATACATCTTTCTACAGGGCTGTTCAGAAAAGTCCCAACACATGACAAAACCACCCACAAGAGTTCTACAATCCTGAATAACTCAGTGACTGTAAAACCGTCAAAACATTTTTTTTTTTTTACTATCAATGAAAAAAATGGATTAACTACAAACACACGATCTTGTGACTTTTTACTAGCATTTTTTTCATCCGCAGCTGTGTAAGGTACACCATATGTAAGTCAACAATTCTCTTTTATACATGGTAAATGTGGCTTTAGGCTCTATGCACACTGGCTTAAAAAAAACTTTGCTCCTAGAAGAGTTTACATTTTGCCTGTAGAAGCAACTAATGTTATCCTATGTGTCCATGCACATTAAGTAGTCTACAGGCATTTTGTAAGCTCAGCGTGTAGAGACAGAAAAAAGCCTTCTGTTTTGCAATTATGAGAGCGTTTTTTTAGCAGAAAAAAAAAGCCAGCTGCTCCTAAATGCTAGTACAAAAGACACTCAAAATTAGCTATTTTGTCTGCCAAGAGCACTGCCATTTTTTTAAGCCAGTGTGCATGGGGCCTTACAGCCAAACTACGTGGCAAAGGAATAAAAAAGGAAGTGACAGTATTCACTGTATGACATTTACATTCATTGACCTTTGTCTTAGTTTTTTTATCATTATATTTTGAATAAACACATTTATAACAAATACACTTGATACATGTCATATATAATGCACAGGGGAACTCTCAATGCCAATAGTATGACCTATTATTGTAATGATGTTGGTTAAAAAAATAAATTAAATAAATAAAAAAATTATTAATATACAATATATATATCTATATATACATATATCTATATATATATATATATATATATATACATATATATATATTTATTATTATTATTATTAATACAGGATTTATATAGCGCCAATAGTTTGCTCTGCGCTTTAACATAACGGGAGACAATGCAGTTTTAATACAAGAGGGATAGGAGGGCCCTGCTCCTTGGAGCTTACAATCTAGTATATCTATATATCTATGTATCTATATATCTATGTATATATATATATATATATATATATATATATATATATATATATACACACACTCAGTATACACCGATCAGCCATAACTTTATGACCACCCATCTAATAGTAGGTACAGTCGGTCCCCCATTTGCCACCAAAACAGAACTACACTAAAGAAAAAGGAGGGAACATAGAAAACACTGACTGCCTTTTCACTATATTAGTGTTGCTATTTAACCTCCCTAGCGGTCTGATTATGTCCATATTTCTGTGCTGAAAGCGGTAAATTTTTTTGCATGGAAATTTGTATTTTTTTATTGCAGGCCTGTAATTTTTAGGAATAACTCACTGAAATCTGTCCAAACAAGAGTCTAGTAAACATCCCGGGTATGTTAAAATTTGAAACACGAAATCATAAATTATAATTTAATAAATAATCATAAAAAAATAATAATAATAAATTTAATTCAATAATATAATCAAACCAAAAACACAGAAATTTGAAATATAGCGCCAAGTTCCCACATCACTGAGCAAAGTCGCAGAATCCTTTTCAGTGTCTGATGAGGAATTCCCCCACGAATCATTATCACTCAATTCTGCAAGTGCTTCTGATTTACTATCGCTTTTCTCTTGCCGGTCTAAAACCGCTTTCGACCTAAAGGGACTCTTTTTGGACGCCATGGACGTTTCTCAGTTTCCAGGCAGAAAGAACAGTCAAAATGCAGGCAGGGCACAGGACAAAGCACTCGGGACAAAATGTATGTGAAATGGTTTGATACAGTAATGTTTCCCTCCGTTCTGTCCCCTGTACGTCCCGAAGCTCGCAGGGGATGGAACCCAGATGACAGATGCTGGCATCCGCCGGAGGACATTACAGGGGACACTGCAGGAGGGACATCACGGGAGCGCAGGACAAGGTAAGTGAAGAAGGGATCCCGGAGCAATGCCACATGGTAAGCCTGAGTGTAGCTCGGGGTTACCGCTTGTGGTACTGAAACTTTACCCCGAGCTACACTCGGGAATACCGCCAGGGAGGTTAAACCAGAATCAAACAAAATACAAAGTGGTCACATACAGTTAATAAAGCAAAAAATTGCAATGCATAAAAATTGTAGTGGCACACAGTGCTCAGTATCCACAACATATATATAAACATGCAAACAAAATGAGAATTTAAAAAATGTGTCTCCATGGATCGGACTTGTTTTTCCCACAGATGCTTGATTGAATTGTGATCTTGAGATTTTTGAAGGCTAAATCAACACCTCAAACTCATTGTTGTGTTCCTCAAACCATTCTTGAACCATATGTGCAATGTGGCAGGGTGCATTATCTGATGAAAGAGGCCACTGCTATCAGGGAGTACCGTTTACATTAAGGGGTGTACTTGGTCACCAATAACATTTAGGTAAGTGGTACATGTCAAGTAACATCCACATGAATGGCAGTACCCAAGATTTCCCAGCAGAACATTGCCCAAAGCATCACACTGCCTCTGCTGGCTTGTCTTCTTGTCATACTGCATCCTGACGGCATATCTTCCCCAAGTAAGAAATGCACACACACCCATCTATCCACGTGATTCATCAGACCAGGCCACCTTCTTCCATTGCTCTGTGGTCCAGTTCTGATGCTCATGTGCCCATTGTAAGTGTTTCTGACTGTGGACCACCATAGGCACCCTGAACAGTCTGCAGCTACGTAGCCCCATATACAACAAACTGTGATACCCATTTTTTTTCCCATAATACATTTTTATTTGGTTTTACAAATATAGTTACAACAACAAAAAAACAAAAATAGGACAGTGAAAAGCTACACAATATCACAGTATAGGTGCTGAGTTAAAGTTTACCAAAAAGAGAAAAAAGGAAATATTGAATAATTCCTAACAATCCTACTAGTTCCATGGAATAATCATTTTAGAGTATCCAAAAAAAAGGTTAAACATAATAATATCTTAGGTTACAGTTCTTGTCAGGGATGCGGGTGTGACCAGAAGTGTGTGGACTGACACAGGGAAACGTAGGCTTCAGATATGGTATAAATAAGACAATTTATTAAGACTAACAATACAAACATAAACGCAGTGCACCAAACCCCAAGCTAACACAAATACATACAAGGTGAAACAAACCCAAACCTAAACTGATATAGATACACAGGTACATACACATATAGAGCACAATGTAGTCAGGCAGGCCGGGTCGATAACTATCGGGCAGGTAGGTACAGGAGGAGCAGGTGGAGAGTAGTCAGGTCATGAGCCGGGTACAGCAACTAACAGACAGGTAGGTACAGGGGGTCAGGCAGAGAATGGTCAGGGTCACAAGCCAGGGATCAAACAGGAGAAGTCAGCAGAGGTCAGGATCAGGCAGGGTCGGCAACAAGTCAGGCAGAAACAGGAACAGGAATGCAGGTTACAAGGTACAGGGGCCCATGGAAAAACACACACCAAGGCACAGACTGCAGGTCTGGCCATCCCTTAAATACACCACCTGCAATCAGCCCCAGGTGATGGCTAATTGCCGAAGTGAACCTCTGGTTGTTGAGAGCACCCGCTGGCCAGCCCTGGTATTGCAGCCCACAAGGCAGGTGAGTCCCACCACTATTGGCAAGTCCATTCCTGACAGTTCTGAGCCAGTCGGACCAAGGAGTCTAAGCTTTGTCAAATTTGGTAATTCTATCGTTTAGGTAAGCTAAAGATTTCCCGTAGATGAAGTTGGTCTGGACCAGCTCAATGACTTCTTTTAGAGAAAGTTTTTCCAGTGTCTAGTAATGGTAAGTCTTGATGCTAGAAGAAAATGTGTCACTAAGACTCGATAATGGATTGGATATGTATCTATATTTATATTCAAAATGGCTAGAGTATATTCTGGTTGTTTTAATATCCCATTAATTTCCGATATCATGTGGAAAACTTTATACCAATAGCTTCTAATGTTTTTACATGTCCATAATATATGTAATAGCGTACCAATCTGACTGCAGTTTCTCCAGCATTGAGGACTATGTTGTTCTGAGAATTTGGCCATTTGGTAAGGAGTTAGATACCATCTTGTGGAAATTTTGTGCGTTAGCTCCCAAAGGTTAACACTATTAGCTGAAAACTCATTCCTGAATGCACATTCCCACTGCTCATTAGAGATTTAAGTCTCTAAGTCTTTTTCCCACTTGATTAAGGGAGTAGTCTTATTAAATTCTGATTTACATTGTAGAAGGTTATAAAATAGGGTGATTTCACCTGATTTAGGAGTAGCGGAGCTATAGAACTGTAAACATACTGTGGGTGTATATACTGTTTTCACTGGATGCGTGTACAGGTTGATTTTTCAGAAGGGAGGAGGTTAAATTCTTTCATAAGGAATTAAAAAAAAAATTTTTGTTGTTTTTAACACGAATATCTTGTATTGTATGTATGCCATTATGTTTCCAATTCGAGATATCTATGCTACGCATTTCGACTTTTATAGGTATAAGAAGAGGACTTATTCGGAGATGATCCTAAGGCATGGAGCTTAAGGATTTCCAGGCTTCAATTGAGGCTATTATAGTTGGTGTTGTTTTAATAGTTGGAATCCTTTGCGACGAGCTCGCTAGTAGTATGTCGCTTAAATCTGTAATAGAGGCTAGAGTTTTTTCAATGTCACCCCATTTTGTATCATCTTCCATTATAAACCAATGCT